GGAGTTTCCTCAAAACACTGAAAGTGGATCTACCATATGAATCAGCTATTCCACTCCTGGGAATACAACCAAAGGACACAAAAACACTAATTCAAAAGAAAATCCATACGCCTATGTTTATTTCAGCACTATTTACAATAGCTAAAATATGGAAACAACTTAAATGCCTGAAAACAGAAGAATAGATCAAGAAAATGTGTTTTATATACACAATGGAATACTACTTAGTGATCAAAAAAGATAAACTCATGCCATTTGCAGCAATATCGATGGATCTGGAAGGGATTATGCTATGAAATAAGTCAGAAGGAAAAAGAGAAATATCAAATGGTTTCACTTATATACAGAATAGAGAGAAACTAAACAAAGGATCAGGAAAAACTTGCAAAATGACAATAGGTCTGAGGCATACAGCAGGGGAGGGGAAGTGAAAGGAGTCAAAATGGAAGGGAAGAGCACAAGAGAGCGTGGTGATTGTTCATGGATGATGTGGTGGTGGGTGAACTATGGGGACTACACCTGAGAGGAGAAATCAAACATACAAAAATGAAAAATGATGTAAGAAAATAAATAGCTTTATTACAAAAAAGAAATTAGGCTGTGAATGGGAGAAGAAAGGTTCATTTCTAGTTGGAGATGGATGTGCTATCCTTAGAAAAGCAATTTTTTCCCCTTAAGATGGGATGACTTTAAAATGTTTAGCTGTTCACAGGAATGACAATAGAAAATAAGACTGAAATTCCTTGCTGGGCTGGGAATGGAGACATGTTGATTGGTTTGGTTGTGGTAGATTGTGATTTCCTCTCCAAGTTCTTATATTTGTAAAATAGGACATGAGGGGTAAGATCATTTGCTAAAAGTGAGGGAAGAGAGGCTAAGGTAGAGAGTTAAGAGAATGGAGGAAACTTCAGTCTTTGCAGTGATTAGTATGGCAAGTTGACTTGAGAAATGGCATGTTTAGCCTCCAGGGGCTAAAGAATATAGATTTATAATGGCAATGGCAAGACCTACTGGAGTGCCTGCCTTCTCCTGAAGATGTTATCTGCTTGGGGTGTAGGTGCAGAGAAAAAGCCTGATTCAATTGATCCTTTTGTGTTTAGTCCACCTTTTTATGGGAGAAGACAATAAGAGAAGTTGGAGAACAATCACCTTCTTTTTTATGACACAATCTTTACTTGACTTGTGATAATGCAGGATTGACTGGCATTTGCACATTGCTTTATAGTTTACACTTTCAAAAACATCATCTCATTCTATTGCAATATAACAAAATAACTTTATTATTAAAATCTCCATTTGATAGGTGAGAAAATATCGACTTACAGAGCTTGGAATGTATTACAGATTCAACTTAGGTCTTGACTATAAGGGCTGAGCTTTGGACCATATACATGAAACATTCAGAACTATATTTAATTAAATGACAATGTGGAATTTACCAAGGTATGAGCTGGAGAGACAAAGACAACTCCTCACCTCTGCAGAAAACCACCTAGATCACACACAAATGAGAGAATGGAGGTTTCTATGAAATCTGACAAATAACAAGGTTAGATGCAATACATAAAATATATATTATATCTTAAAAGAAATCAATCCTCGGTTCACAGCTCAAAATAGCATCTTTTTTTTTTTTTCCTGGTGCAGCAGAGGATGTTCTGGTATTATATCAAGCAACATTTAGTGAGCAAAAGTAACTGAATGCAATATATTTACCGACAATAGTGCCAAGGCTTTTTAAGGCACAGTATTGATTTACTTCTTTCAAAACCAAAGTGACAGCAAAAGGGGGAAAAAATCACATGATTCAGGAAAGATATCTGAGGATTTAAAAGTGGCAAACACAAATCCATTAGTTTTAAAATGGGTCAAAAGACAAACCAGGAAACTGTAGACTAGTGCATCAGTGAATTCAACATCTATTATAAGGAGAATACAGGATATTCTGTAAAGAAAAATGTAGGAGGAAAGAAGTCAGGAAAGGAGTTGGAATAAGAATAGCTTTATGAATTCATAGCCAAGTGACTAAGGGCAGAGAGTTTCTTATTACCTGTAGCAGTAAATTATGTTTTTGGGTATTGTGTAGTCAGCAGACATGTATAATTTATTCATCAGGGATTTTTTTTAGAGTATTCGTAAAACTGTTCCAATAATTTACTTATCACTAGAGAGTCAAGTAAATGAAACAGGATCTTCTTTAGTGATCTCTTCCCCTGAGTAGCTCAGTATACCTCAGATAATGTACCCATGGAGATATAGTTGGGCAAGGCTATATTTGCATTGCTCCCATTGTTTTCTAAGATTCTGCCCTCAGGTTTGAATTAAAAGGATAATAAGCCCAGAGCAGTTGGCAGCTTAGTGTACCTGTGTCAGAAGAGTTTTGTTTTGCTCCCTTTACAACACACTTCACTGAATTTTTATTCACTGCAATGTTAGGGAGAATGGGCACAAGAAGAGAGTGCAGCCAGATACTGATCTCTACTCAGGCACTAAGAGTTGTCTCTTTATCATTACAGTGCCATCTGTGCAAGTTATAAATGATGAGAAGAATCTGGCAGAAATGACAAGCTTTTTATTTTCTTTTTGTATTAGGGTAGAGTGACAGAACTTTTTGTTTACTGAATACACCTGTTTGCTTATAAAAATGTATCCAAAATACTGGACTGGATAGATTTTCACTCAATCATATGCTTGCCCTTGTCATATTTATTTATTTATTTAAGATTTATTTATTTATACAAGAACGGGGAAACTGTTCTTGATGTGTGGGAGGCCAGATGCGTGGGAGGGTGAGAGGATTCACCAGAGACAGAGTGGGGAGCAGAACAGGCAGACTGACGAAATACAGTGCTGAGGGGGGCAGCGAGCGAGACAGAAGAGGTCTGCTGCACCATGTGGGACACTCGCCATGTGGGACCAGCACTGCAGAGGCTGCGGACAGCTTCACAGTGCTGCACTCAACCGCCTGCGCCACCAGGGGAGGCCCCACCTTGTCATATTTAAATGTTACTACTTTTTTCTTCATTGATTCTTTGACAGAATCTGTAATTCGAGTTTCACTACTTTATAGCCCTCAAAAAGCAGTCATTTCCAAAGTGTGCCAAGACCACATGTTTGTTTAAATGCAACTATTCCCCCTTCATCCTAGATCTTCTAAATAAGAATCTCTAGAAATGCTGTGCTGAAATCTGCAAGTTTATAAGATCCATGGGTGACTTTTAAAAACATTGCCTTTAATATCCATAAAGAAACTGTATATATAGACTGTACAATATGCTGAATTTTCACCAACTGAATGGACCCAGGTAACCAACACCTTAATCTAGAGGTCCAAGATGATGAGTGCTTTGGGTATTGACCAAAATACCTCCTGAGCATAGACAGAAACCTCTTCACTACCCATCCTGTCACTGCCTTCAACAGGAATAATTGTTACACTGATTTTTTAAAGCATAAACTCCTGTTTTTGTAATTTTTATAAGCTCAATCAAATAGGTTGTACTCTGTTTGATTTCTTTTACTTGACATTATGTTTGTAAAAACTGATCTATATTTTTACCTGTAATTGTAGTATATTCTTTCTCATTATTTAATAGACTTATTTTGTGAATATGCAAGGATTTATGTATTCATTTATCGGGTGATGGACAGCTGACTGGTTTCCAGTTTGAGGTTATTTTGAATAGTGCTGCTAACATTCTAGTGTGTGTTTTTTGTAAGTCTTATGTTTGTATTTCTGTTGAGAATGCCATCAAAAATTGCACTGAACTAACTGGAGCTTCATTAAAACAATAGTCAGAAAAGCTACTAAAAATTGGGTATTTGTAAGTTATCTATGGGTGCTACTTGACCATACTCCATTACGTATGTCATGAGAGGAGGTAATTTTACAACTTGGGGCAAGGGACACTGAAGTTGGGTTTCTTTCTGTCTTCCTCCAGAGTCTGGGAGATGTCTTCTTATTGGTTACATTTCAAAGGGATGACTCTTGGGTCCTTAAGAAAGATAGTCATGGGTTGCAAAACTGACAGAATGTTGTAAAAGGGTTAATATCCTAAAGGAACAGAGAAAGAATTTACAATAACACGTTTTCTAAAATAAATGCTTTAGGAAAAAGAGGTCAGGGGCCAAAACATGGAAAAGGTCTGTCTAAAGTATGGTCATGTTGAGGAAAATGTTAAAATCAATTTGATCAATAGTATAAGTAAGAGCAAGTTTGGTGGGTCATAGTTATGCAAATATTCACCTTTAGCAGATACTGCCATACTCCTTTCCATAATCCTTGCACTAATATATATACACTTTCCAACAATGTAGGCAAATTCTTTTTTTTTTTAAAGATTTAGTTATTTATTTATACAAGCAGTGGGTACAGTCAGAAGTGCAGGAGGGTGAGAGAATTCACCAGAGCCAGAGCGGAGAACAGAACAGGCAGACTGACGAAATACACTGCTGAGAGGAGCAGCGGGTGGCAGGAGAAGTCTGCTGCACCATGTGGGACCCTCGCCCGGTGGCTGGGGATCGAACCGGTGCTGCAGAGGCTGTGGGCAGCCTTGCAGCCCAGCGCTCAACCACTGCGCCACCAGGGGAAGCCCAATGTAGGCAAATTCTGACTACTTCACATCTTAACCATAATTTGTCATTTTCCCTTTTCATTTTCACCATTCTGGTGAGTATAAGTAGAATTTAATTATTTCCACATATTCCTGTTTTACTAAATATTATCAGCAGCTCTGGGCTTTGAAATTTTGTCTAAAACCATTTTATGATCTACAGAGTCATCTATGTGCATCACCTCTATCAAGGAATATGGTAAATTATAGACTATCTAAGACTAAACTAGCCTGTATTCCTAAATTGTTTATTTTAAAATATTTTTACTGAACTGTTGATTATGTGTGATGATATATTATTGAGGATTATTTAATCAATATTCATGAGTGAAATTAGTCTGTAGATTTCTTTTTAGTGCTATCTTGATCAGGATTTTGTATTTATGCTAAAAATTATAAACATTCACAAATTTGCATTTCATCTTTGAAAAGGAGACAGACTAATCCTCCCTGTATTGTTCTAATATCGGTATATATACTCTTGAAGTAACACATGTCCTTTAAGTTCTTAATTTCAGGGAGTAAGTTGTTCACACTTTTATGGTTTGAACTCTTCTGTTTTTTGTTTTGTTTTTTTTTTCTTTTTTTCTCTCCTGGGCTTGATTTCACTTTATTTTCCTTCTTACATATCTTCATCCTTTTTTTTTTTTTTTTTTTTTTTTTTTTGTCTAATCAATTCTGTATATACAATGTCCTAAAGACTTTTAGGCTTAAAGTGGACATCTGATAAATATTTATCAAATGAACAGAGAGTTGAAAAACTACATTTTGTCTATCATGTTCAACTTATTGACTTATTAAGGGGATTTATTTCTTTAAAGTTTGTAATTTTTGTGTGACCTTGGCAGAGGTTCTGTGGTAATTCAATGTAAACTGTGATGGGAAAAACATATTCACTTTCTTTAGGAATCTAGTGTTTGCAATATTCTGAAACATTATATTTATTTCCTAGAAAGTACCTCTGTTATTAAGCAGACGGTAAATATTTAGACTCCATATTCAAGTATGCAATAGCCTGGATGCCATATTTCTTATGGTGATCTTTCTTCCCTTTTATCCTAGAAATGTAACATGTTTTTTGAAGACTTCTCCAGGAGAATAGGCAGACTTTTTTTTTTTTTTTTTTGATCTGCCAGTTTTCAATAGCTAGGGTAGCAGTTCAAGGAACTGAACTTTAAACAAGTAACTTCTTTTAAGATTTTCATGTTTTAGGGATGGGAGGCCACATCTTCTACATGATGGTCTTGGTTCTTATCCTCCTAGAATTAATGAGTTCCTGTGAGTCACAATTGAATCACATTTAGGATGGTAGTCCTCTTTTGAGTTTTCACTTTGATGTTGCCACCTGAGGAGCCTCTCTTTGTTGTTGCTACCTGAAGAGTTCCTTTCTTTTATTTTTATGATTGCATATTTAATAACTTTATAAATTACACTTTCAGCATTTCTGTTAGGTCCATTTTCTATTATTTACAGTCAAAAGATAACTGATTCAAGTCTTACAAACTTTCCTTTGGTGTCTTATTGTGAAACCATGAATTTCCCAGTCAATTCGAAAGTGTACCATTAAGTATAATAAGTAAATTTCTATTTAAATTTTATTACAGGACTCTGACTCTTTAAAAAATGTCTCAAAAGATTCCAGATTTTATCTTCATATTTCCATTTTGATTAATAAAATTTAGTAAAATTGGTAGCTTTTTTTTAAAAAGATTTACTTATTTATACAAGAACTGGGGTACAGGTCAGAGGTGCAGAGGGTGAGATGATTCACTGGAGACAGAGCAGGGAACAGAACAGGCAGACTGACGAAATACACTGCTGAGAGGAGCAGTGGGCAAGGCAGGAGAGGTCTGCCATGCCATGTGGGTTTCTCCCAGGCCTGCTAGGAATCAAACCCGCGCTGCAGAGGATGCGGATAGCCTCACAGTGTGGCGCTCAACCCGCTGTGCCACCAGCCCAAAATTGGTAATTAGTAACCCTAATTAAGATACTGTAATTGTTTTGCTTCATGTTAGCTGATTTCCTATTACTTATATGGATATGATTCAATGAATATTAGTTCAATAAATCAGTCAGATAGAACATTCACTTTATTGAATATATGCTTTAAAATGCTTTACTTAATTCTTCAGAGTGAATATATTTTTCTTGCTCAACTATTGTTAGATGCTATTTTTACCCATCTTAGGAAATCATTTCTCCTTCCCCATGTTGTTGTCATCAATGTAAACAACTTTCCTGTTAGTATGATCCGTGTTAGTTAGTTCCAATCAATTTGGAATAAACAGGATAATATGCACAGCTTCCAGGGCATATCTTTAAATAGAAAAAATGCTTCCTTTTGTTTTCCTTTCTTATAAGCTGGAACACCAAGGAGAGTGAGATTTGAACCCTTAGAAACTAGGAAGATTAAGAGATCTGGCTCAGAGATGACCTCATGGAATATTACAGTTAATTTGCTGTTTATTTTCACCGATCAATTCCAATTCTTAGCCATTATGCATCATGATATCATCTAAACTCACATATCAATTGATCAAAGATAAAGGAGAAGTGAGAGTTTAGAGAAATTCTGAAAAGCTGAGTACTTCTCCCACGAAAACTGCTTTACCCTGGAACTGACTAAGTTATATTGAATCCTAAATGGTGGTATTTTTATTTACTTCCTACTAATAATGAATGTGCCCGGTAGAATTAAGTTCATTATGGTGAAAACACTTTCTGCCCAACTGAGTTGTGAATGTGGACTTTAAGCAGATTACCCTACCTTAGATGACATATTGAATTACAAGAAAGTTTCATCATTGTGTTTTAAATTTCAGTAGGGAGGGGAAAGAGATAAGACCTTTTCTTCCACTGGACATGCTCTAAGACAAAAAACAGTATAAATAGGTAATTAACATTCATTTCAGAAAATGTTCATGATAAAAGTATGACTAAAGTGTTTAGTAGGCACATAATAGAGGAGATTTAGGGAGAGAGCTAATTAAATCTAGGAGAATTAGAAACATCTTTTAAATCTGATTAGTTCAAATAATCTGTCACTGAGTGGGGAAAAAATGCTTAAATTTTAGGTATCATCCTTTTATTAGAGTAATATTCAGTAGAAGGAAGTTCAAGAATTCTCCAGATTTAGTACAACACTGGAGCTACTTGAAAAAAAAATTCTGTTGTGACTTTGACATTCACATTTATCTTACTTGGTTTGTTTCTTAGCAGCAAATAGTATTTTAATACAATAAATAAGTATTATGTCAAATATAAACTTCCTTAGAAATGAGAATAGACACATTTCTATAAACAAACAGCCTTGATACCTATTTTTGGAGTGTATTGGCAGCTGTGTTAAAATGGAGGTTCCTTTGAAGGATGATCATGACAGAGACCAGATTCAGGAATGTTACAACATAACACAGCCAAAAAATTCTCCTCTTATATATGTGCTTGGAACTTTGATTGAGATTTTCCTGGGCATAGTGAAAGATACATAGCTTGGATGTCACATGCCAAATTCAAACCAATAACATCCATTCGAGCATTATAGTCTCTCAGCTATTGTATAAAGTTTATAAAGGATCTAGAGATGATTATAGCCACTTAATTTTTCCCCTGTTTATGTTAAATAGGAGGTGGATAAAGGAGGACAGGGAATCTGAATGTTGCATAAATGTAATGGTAAGGGAAATAACATGCACAGATTGTGACAATCCACTTGGAAAAAAATCCAAACTAATTTTGTTCTATTTCTTCTAAGCCATCTGAGAGTCTTTCTACATTTACCAATACAGACTAAATTACACCATGATTGAGTTTATGGAGAGATAGCAGCACATATGTAGATGAAAGCACAGACAGATATTTATAAAAAAAAAAAAAAAAAAAACAAAACTGGGTTTCTATAAAAAAAGAGAAAGTTGGTTGTTATTTTGAGGTGTATTTGTTAACGTTTAAAAAAATTAAAAAAAAAATAAAAAAGGAAATTTAAAGAATATGTCACTTATTCAAACATGCCACTTTTCCTGAAAAAGAGAGAAACAAGTTTTCCACGGTTGGGCTTTGTTGAATGTTGACTTGGCTGGTGCAGCCTTTTGTCTCCCCAGCTGAATGAATCACCTCTGCAATATGTCCCTTTTGTTTGCATACTGGAATTCAGTGCCTATCTGGGGGTGGGGAAATGTGTGGAAAAAAACCTGTTACTTTGTTACCCTAGGACCAGATTGTTTCAAGTCTGTGTGTGCATATTTTATTTCAGTGTCTTTCCTTAAATCTTGGCTTTCTTGCTTTCTTTCTTTTATATTTCTGCCCTTCCTCAAAGAATAAGCCTCATTTTGAATCAAAAATAAAATACATGCTATTAATAAATCAAATTCTGTAAATACCTTCTGTTTATTCTTAAAATGGCCTAAGACAGAAAATATACTAGCCTTTCACATTCCACTTGTAAGCACATCTAATCTTCTGTTTATAAAAATGTACTTTATGTAATGTACTTCCTTTGTTGGTATGTCATTATAAGTCTCCAATTTTATGGGCATACAATCTGTGTCTGTATTTACATATAGAAAGTTTATGTTAATTATAATTTATGTGTGTGATACATATATATTCATTAAGATAAATTTATTCTGGGCATTTTAATTAGCATTATTTTGTTAAGTTCTTTTGGGTTTGGCACCATTTCACCACATCAGTTATGGAAATTGAGACTCAGATAAGTTAAACTCAGATAAGTTCCCACCGTCCACTTGGGAAAAGACCCTTGCCAAACCAGCACCTCAGAGAACTGGGAAACAAATGGCTGTCTGTTAACCCTAGGACATTAAAATACCAAGAAACAAAGGGTTAAGGCCAACCATTACTGACTCCTGCAGGATGGTGAAAATTTTTAATTGATTTACTCAAAAACTGGTGTATAGATTTCAGTCTGTGGAGATAACCAGATTCCAACTATCCCTGTTGGTATTGAATAGCCCATTGGTTTAGAATAGACTCAGAGCCTATGCAGCCTCTTCCTCTGGATCTGAACTTCACATCAGTCTTGTTATTGTACTAAATTCTCCTCCTAGAGGAGGATTTAAGCCACCATTTTCTGAGCACACGAAGTGTATGGAAGTATGCTCTGATGCTTGGCAGATAACCAGCAACACCAAAATACCTCCAACACACAATCATCAAACATGCCTTTCTCTCCCTTTTGCCCAACATTTGCTTTAAAATTCTTTTCAAGTTCTTATCTGAAGAGGCACTCTGTGGAGAAATTCACATTCGTTGTCTCCATTGTCTGCAGATAGTAAACTTCTCTTTCTTTTATAAAACTTTGACAATGTTACAAACTACTGATTTCAGGAGTAGCACATGGAGGTCAGATTGGGCCTCTGGGAAGTGGAGCCATATTGAATCTAAGAGCCATAAGAATCAAACTCATCTTCTTTAGAAATCACCAAGAACATTTTTTCTTATGCCTGTTGGCCATTTGCATTTCCTCTTTGG